TAGAAGAATTAAGGATAGGATTTTTTGACGCTAAAGATGTATACTTATCACCACATGGAATTAATACACGTTTAGCAGGTGCGACACCATCCAATGTCGATCCTTACGGAAATCTAAAGTATGTCATTTCCATATATTTATCAAAAATCACAAATAATATAAAAATCAGAACAATTTTTTTTTCTTTTTTGAACAGCAAGAAAAAAAAATTAAAACTTCATAAAACAACCCAACTTAATAACCAGTTTGTAATTAAAAAAATTATATAAAAAATACAGCTAAATATGGCTTCCTTTGCATTTTTGCCTACAAAATAATTTATTGAACTCACGTAGTCAACTTTTTAAACCATAGAAATCTCACCTACAACAAAGCCAGTCTATTCAATTTTTGTTGTGACATAGTAGACCAAAAAAATGATGAAATAATAGTCAACAATATGAGATAAATATTATTTGTGTTTTGATAATAATCTTCTATATTTTTTCAAAAGATTCAATTGGCTTACAAATTTTATTTGGTATCAATTCTCGATAAATATTATTTGTGTTTTGATAACTCTTCCATTAATAGATTATCATCAACAATGTCTGAGTGCATACCATTGTTTATAGAAGCCTCAAAGTTCACACATTATATCTTTGAAGTATCCTCACTTGCTGATGTCAATGTTCTTAAATGAGACAAAAATCCAAACGATTTTTCATACCTTTGGAATTGCTCAAATCTGGACTTGAGAGAAATTATAGCTTGATCTATGAGTATATTGTAGTAATCAATCCTGAAGCTCCTTTTGCAACAATATCACATATTCATTAGTTATCTCCTTCTCTTCATCATAGTTCTTTCTTCTAAGATACACTTTTTTTTTAACAGGAAAGTCAACATCAATATGCATATCAGCTGCAATCTACCTAGCATTAGCCTTTGTATCCTTTTAAAAAAATTGTCTCTTAATATTTTTGAAATATGTCATAAGCCCTTTCAATTGGTGATTCACAGCATCAATATCAATGTTTTCTAACTGCATGCTCTCTCTGTTTACAACAGACGAAATCCATACCAAACAAGAACTCAGAACCTCCAATTTTATATGTTTCATTTAGGACAAAATATTCAACATTATTTTGTGGTTATGGGTCGTCAGTACTTTTAATCTTTATTGAAATTGTAGAAACATCCACATACGATCAAAGTCATTTGCTATTTCTGACTATTAATATCCGAGATACAATCAAGAATTATAGAATAATACTTTGAATCATCAATCTTCTTTATGATCGTAACTTTGATCTCTCTAGTAAGCACTTTAATCAATTCATTATGAATCATGTGACTAAGGTAATGCACATATATTTTTTTTTCAATTTGATCGTATAACATGCTCTCTCATCACTGCATGAAACTATGTAGTTATCTTAATGACACCCAGAAAATATTCAATATCGCCACACCAGACTTCTGATTATTCCATAAATGCCAAATTACTTTGAGCTAAAGTTTTCATCATTTATACATTTTCAATATACATCTCTCATTTGGCTTCTTTTTCTGTTTAGTTGTTCTTGAACTTGTTTATCAATTTGTTGTTTAACATATTCAATATATATTTACCATTATGTATCGCACTCTTTTACGATTCAACTTTGACATCAATTTTATAACTCCATTATTACAGCCATAGTGTTTAAGAGTGTCATAAGCAACTAAAAACAATAACTTTATAAGGACCGATAATAAGAAAAAGATGTAACTTCATTTCGTTTAACATTATTTTTTGGTGGTAACTATATAAAACCTCAAAAATTTCCAATATGTATTATATTTTCTTAACTTGATTAAGGAGAGAGAAAGATGAGATAGAAATCAAATATAACCTATCTCTTTTTGTTTTTGTTTTTGCAGTATCACAATTTCTGTATCACTTTTCAAACCATAAATTAAGCTCTGCAAATTCACCTCTCTCTTTAGCTTTCCTCCAAAAGAATATTGCAATCTTATTTATATGTTTATTTACGTGCCACAAAAAATTATATATAAGAATCTCGATGTATATCTTAATTTTTTAATTATTTTTTGTTGGGTGTATTTTTAACTTCTTAAAATAATGATAAATGCATATATTTATGTATATGTATGGAAAAATTTTGTAAAGTAAAAAGTTAGCTGAGCATTATAAATAACACACATAAATTTCTAAAGTAACACTAATATTAAATAATTGCAATTAAATACATATGTCTTATATTATGTAAATCGAATGTGCAAGTTATAATAAGCTTTTTCTTATTTAACATATTCAATATATATATATATATATATATGACATATATTATGCAAATCAAATGTGCAAGCTATACTAAAATATTATACATGTATATAATATGTTATATTAGATTTTAAATTACTATTTTACTTTTGCATCCTTTTCAACATTAATCTTTTAATGCGGTACAAATGCAGATAATTTCAAAAAATTTTATTTAGGTTTGAATTGTGAAAACGGATAATAACTAGTTTAAAATAGTACACATTGATATAATAAATTATATTAAATTTTAAATTACTATTTTACTCTGATTTTGTTTCTCAACATTTATATTTATAATGAGTTACAAGGACATATTAATTCACTATAAAAAATGAGTTCTTGTGCAAAATTTTGAGGCAAAAATTATCCGTCTCAAATTTGTGACATATCAGTGTTGATATTGTGACCAAATGTTTTTTTCTGTAGAAATTAGTAGTCGTTTTGTCACAATATTATGCCGATTCAGTTCGTAGCCAATATTTGTAACAAATAGTCACATAAGTGTGATGAAAATATATTTATAACAACTGTGACAAAATTGTGACCATATTTGTCATCGTAATTTTGTGATAAATTTGTAACGAATCGGTAAGTTTCAATTTATGACGATAGAGTGACTAATTGTCAGTCACTAATTGGTATGATTTGATGATAAAAAGGATATAAAGTGGAACTAAAACTATTTAAAAAATACATTCCTAGTGTTGACCGAGTTACTAACATTTTATTCAGAAATAATAATTCATGAAATAACTAAAAAAAACTAGTCACAAACCATAGAGAAAAAATTTATTAGCCCACAAAATTATACTTAACTTTAATTTATTTATTTATAATTATCATTATTCTCTTCTCTTATTATAACAACTTATTTTCTTATAGATAGAAATATATTTTTGTAAAAAAATAAAAAAATAATATTTATAATTTTCTTTTTATATTAATATATTTTTCTGTATATCTCTCTTTTCTAAAAATATTAAGAGGCCAACAAAATATAGCAAATGACAAATAAAACTTTGCTTTTGATGAATCAGAAACAAATTTGATCCTAACACTGATTTTGTAGTTGTTCTTTCGAGATTGAACGGTCACAACTGTAGTTTTATCACGCATAATTTTAGTGAGTCATCAAAGAATTACTTTCTTTATAGATTTGGATAAGATGATTTATCGTTGCTTCTTAATATAGCCTTGGTTATACTTTTGTGTTGATGTCTTCTTCTTCATCGATGTGTAGTCAAGAGAAGACGAAATATTCATAAATTTATTAAAAACAAAAAAAATTTGTTCACAAGAGGTGAGAGGCTTGTCATATGCATAAGAATTTTGTTTCTTCTAAAGTCTGTTAATTTTAATAATCTATTCTCACCTTGTTTTTTTTTTCCTTAATTTTTTAAGATATTCCAAATTATCTTAATATCGTGTAATAACAATATTAGAATAACAAGACGCTGGATGTATGCAAGAGTCGATCATACAAATAATCAAGTTTCAGAAGAATTTTGTCAAGGATCAGATAACTTTATGAGACTTGCAAAGAATCAAACACTATTTCTTGAGAGAGGAAAATTTCTCTGTCCATGTTTTAAGTGTGAGAATGGAAAAAGATTACAAGAGGAGATTATATCTACACATTTATATAATATGGGGTTTTATGCCTACTTATTAGGTATGGATTTTTCATGGAGAAGATTATAATGATTTTATAGATTCTGGCGAAGATGCTTTTGGGTCTGAGTCTCACACAAAGCCAGTTAATCCTTGGCAGTGGTTTCATATGTATTTGGTAATTCAAGTTCACTACTAAAAAAAGTTGTATAGCTATGGATTATGTCCTCGCTATTATCCGTAGCTAAATACGCTTATAGCGAGGAAAAGCCAGGAAAGAAATTCGTGGCTATAACTTCGTAGCTAATTGGAATCTGTATTTTTGTGGTGTAAATAGCTACAGATTGTGACGGAGTATTCTGTAGCTAATTAACCAGGAAATTTTCAGGGATAATTTCTGGCTAGTTAACTATGAATATAGACGTAATTTATCCGTGGTTTGTTTGTTACAGTCATAGGCGTGACCAATCTGTGGTTTTTTTAGTTACAGACAGATATGTAACATTTCATAGCCAATTTGTGGCCAAATTTTTACACTAATCCAAGCTTTATGTGGCTTGTTTGCTATGGTTCTTATTCTGTGGCTTTGCTAAAAAAAGTAAAATACCAAAATTCTGTTTTGTTTTTTTATTATTTTATTTTAAATAATATGAAATTTAAATTTCTGTAGCTACAAAAATATTGCTACAAATTTTAAATGGTTAACAAAAAGACACAGATATTAAGTTTAAATAATCACTTCATATAATTTCCAATACACAAATTGAAAATTACAGTATATATTGAAACATTAGAAGTTAAAAAGGAAAAGTAATAATTATAATAAATTAAAAGCAAAACAAAAAGTTAGAAAACAACAAACTTGCACGTGTTGTTAAAACGTTAAGCTACTATAATCGAAGTTAGCAAAGAAACAGACATGCACATATTCTATTTACATACCTATCTCCTAACATACAAATGAAAGAAACCTCAATTAGTTGTCCATCTTCAATGTGAAAATTTAGAGGGATAAGATGCAGTAACAAAGTAATGAACAATAACATAATATATTAGGATTTGAAACTCAGTGGTGGAGCTAAAATAATTTTTTATAGGGGTCAATATTAATATAATCACATAAATATTAAATTCACGAGGATCAATATACACGCTTGAGTTCAGATAACTCATGAAATATAATCAAAAATACATCTATAAAAAAAATTATAAATTTCACCGGGGTCAACTGATTCCCCTCGCCATCAAATAGCTCTGCCACTGGTGAAACTGATAGCAGAAAAGTAAACAGGTTAGAACTAATATATATTTTATTCAAAGCAACAATGTAAATCAAGGACCTTTCTAATTTAATTTTATTACATACCTTGAGATATGCTTTGTTTAGCTGGAGGCAAGAAGGAACAGCGGTAAATGATGTTGTTTGGCTATTAGGAGACCCATCAGAAGCTGATATTTGTGTATTAACTCAACATTAGCTATAATAGATTCCACGCGTTTGTCGACAAATGTCCCATCTTTGCATGTGTGTGTCTTGTGCACAAGGTCAATGTAAGCAGGTGGTTTATCTGTTCCAGCCTCGATCATCTGATGAGAAAAATAACACTAGAATTGTGAAAATTATATGAAATATTCAAACTGAGGGAAATAAATCCTTACCATATTATACCTAACACGAGCAAATGCTACAGAACCAGCACAATGCTTATGCTCTCCTAAGCCATCAGATCTTGACATGCGATTCTCAGAGTTGGTCTTGCAAAGTTCAATCATATACTCAGTTTCCCACAGCTTTAACATTTCAGTCCGTTGGATCTCACTTACATACTTTGGTTTTTTTCCAGCTCTCTTTTTCTTGCTGATTCGACCACCTATTGAATCCATACACTCTTTCCACCATAACGAGTATACCAGATCATGGTGGACTTTGTCCCAATAATAATTTTGCTGCAAGAATAAAAAATGTGTAAGTTAGATCATGTGTAGTAAAAATGTTCAAAAACTCATCATACAAATTTATCAAAATTAAGCACAAAATCCTGCCACCATTTATCAGTCTTCTCTTCCGGGACCATTCCAATATTCCATCCAAAGGCCCATAAAATTGTTTTGCCATGTTGTTCAGATGTACTTACAAACTGACGAGTCAACTTTGAACCTGAAAAAAAACATAAGAGTATATTATTAGATATATATTAGAATGTAACAGAAGATAACAATGTAAAACATATAATATTTACCATAAAGCTCCATCGAGCTTTTGAGGATGGAGTCGTGGCTGGTCTCGCCGTGCCGGCGAATTAATTAAAGCCTCGAGTGTGCGACTGTTAGAACTGTTAGCACCAGCTGAAGACTGAGCAGTTGAAGACTGACTTGTACCTCCAGGTGGTAAGAGACCTTGCTGTTGAAAAGCTGAAGACCTACCATTAGCTCCAGGTGGTAGAGGACCTGGCTGTTGAGCTGTTGAAGACAGACCTGTAGCTTTAGGTGGTAGAGGACCTTGCTGTGGAACTTTAGGTCGAACTCTCTTTGGACAAGGCTGCTGTTTACGCAATGATGCATTGGTGCTAACCTTGATATCTTATGTTTAGATATATCTGGAAATAGAGATAGTCAAATGAGAAACTGAAAGAACAAAAAACTCTTCTATTATCTCAGTTTGGTCTGTCAAAAAAATTTCACAAACATTGTTCATGATTTGCTCTTAACTCTACCACATAAAAAATTCTTATGCATCCTATTGGTCAACATCAGCACTATAAATTCTTATTATGCATTTTTTTATATCTGATGTATATTACTTGTCATAGAATCATTTTTCATGACTCATAACGAAAGATGATGAAAAAGCAAATTACTTTAAACAGATATAACAAAAATAACGATTATTGAAGCCAACTAGATACACAACAACGAAAGATGAGTGAAAATGAAAGTAGAATACACAGTAGAGAATAAATTTAATCATATGCTCTGAAACTTAGATCCAAATTAAATCACATGCACTGCAAATCAGATAACAATAATACCAAATCCATCCAAGGATACCCAAATCAGAGGAGAAGAGATCGAGAAACAGTTGTACAAAAAAAATACCTGGTTTTGGAGTGAGACCCGAAAATAGTTGCTGCAGAAGAGAAAAATTAACAGACGCTTCAGGATATGTTGAGAGATAAAAGATACTGAGAGATGGGGAGAAGAGATTAACGGAGGCTGCAGAATATTGAGAGTGAAGAGATTGAGCGACAGAGGAAATGACGGATGCTACAAAGTTTTGTTAAGGAAATTAGGGTATTTATCCCAAACTTTCGGCCAAAATTTTACGCCAAAATTTCAGCCAAAATTGAAAAGTTTAAGTTCTTAACATAATATTCCACAGATTATTCCATTGCTATTTCGTATCTATGGAAATTAAACAGATTTAAATAATTTAGAATATAAATTATTATTTTTGGTATATAATATATATTCAAAAGAGAGAAAAAAACTATGTCGTTCATATTATATTTAGCAATTTAACAATTTAACAATTTCATATTTTTATTATTTAACTGATTTTTTTAATATTTACCGTTTGAAACCTATAAACCAATTTATGTTTATTGATATACTATGTATTCACCAATAACATGTTAAAGAGTTCCATAATGGCAATATTCGATGTTAAATAAATCTGGTGAAACATTTCCTATAAATGTTTGTTGTTTATATAATCATGTTATCTTTAAAGACATAATCCATATTCACATTTAATTATATTAGAAATCAAATATTACTAGAGTTTTGAACGATAAAAGAAGACATATATATAGAACAGTACAACGATTAATAAATTATACATAAACAATATAATATAAACTTAATTAGAATTATATTCAGAATCAGAATCAGAATCATCACACAAGTCTTCTAGATCATCTTTTGATATGTATACGTCATCAGGATCAACCATAGATAATTTTTCGAAATTAGAATCATTTTGGACAGCATGAGCTTCAACTTGCAGTATTTGAGTAAATGCCACTAGTTGATTATGTTTATCGTCTTGTAATGCAATTTGAGAAACTTCTATTGGATCGCGAACCCTTCGTGGTATCACAGTAGTACAAACCCACCAATCATCTGCTGCAGTTTGACGTACACGCAGATAAGAAATGAAACAAACTTGATCACATTGTCTGGGTACACAAAGATCGTATTTTTGATATTATCTACGTCGTGCCACATCAATAATACCAATCGAATGTCTGCGGATCCCATGACCTTCTGTCGTGTCAAACCACCTGTTTTTGAAAATCATTGTCTTAAGCCCAACAACACTATGATACTCGATCATCATTATCTCCTCTATGAGTCTGTAGTCAGTTGTTCCACAGACATAAACACCATAATTCTGGGTCCTTTTTTCTTGTCCATGCATATATGTGTGAAAGTGGTATCCCCGCATATAGTACATAGGCCAAGATATGAAATTATGCATCAGACCTTGTACAAATTCCATCATCCACAACGGAAAATCATATGTTGTGTGGCATCATTGATCTACAAATATTATATCTAATTTAAATAACACTTTATAACTTAGCACAATTACCTACATATAATGATTATGTTATATATAATAACAATGACAATAAGAGAATTTAAACGTACATAATCTTTTACCCATTTTGCATAGTGTTTGTCTTTTGATCTCTGCAATGCGTCTGGAGTAATATCAGGAATGATTAATGCATATAGTCTTCAAACATCTTGATTTAATATATTACCATTATATTATTTTGTTACTATACTAAAATAAGTAAGATAAAAAGTTATATATATGTACCTCTCGTAAGGAGAAAATTCGTCGCAGTTAAGCATAAAAATGTTTGAAGCACATTGTAGTCGTCATCTGTTAACCACCTATTAACATATTTTCCACTAACTCGCCCTGCATGGTGGAATAAATTTGGGACATCTTGATAAGCTTAGGTAAATCGAACTTCTCCTGGACCTTCATTGAAGTATAGAATTATTGATGTCCAAAATAATTGTCTGTAGCATAAAAAACCTCTTCATTCACACATTGTGCAATAATCGAGCCCCAATGTGTGCCTTGTTTTTAACCTTCTTCTTCAGATTTTACATATATCTCTCGAATGGATATATCCACCTATATTGCACTGGACTACCTAAAGATGCTTCATTTGGAAAGTGAATAGGAAGATGACAACATCTTTGACTTTCAACATCGTCACTGATATATCCCGACAAATAGTGCAATATCTACACAGAATTTATTATAATTATTTTAATTTTGTAATATCTAAATTATTTTTTTTTTAAATTTGTAAATTACCTGAAATTGCTGTGTGAACATTTTTGGGAAGGAGTTCTGAAAATACAAATGGGAGAAGTCGTTGCATGATGACATGGCAATCATTGCTTTTTAGTCAATAAAGCTTCCAATTATTTTCATCATCACATCCTGTAAATTTTGAAGCGCATCAATCTGGAAATTTGACATCATATTTCAACCATGTGACAAATTTCTTTTTCTCCTTGTTTGACAGTCTGTTAAGGTAAGCATGTTTTGAACTATGTGGTCGATGTATGTTGATGGTTCTGATTATTAGCTCGGTAGTCAATTCTATTGCTTATGACTCCTTATATGGATGCAGGTAGTAAGGATGTCTGATCAGCACGTGCGAACTAAAGCTGTGAAAAAAAGGAATTGTAGGATCTGGGTAGAAGGTCTAGTGTAAACAATGTGATAGCTTATATGTGAACTGATCATTGCACTATAACCTCGATTTAAATTCAAGTATTCAGTTTTTCATTCATTTATATTCAGCTAAGTCTTGTCTGATTGAATCAAATACGAAAAAGTAAAGAAACATGCTAAATAAAATCCGGATCGAAAATTGACTAAGTGTTTGTTAAAAAGTAAATACGGGTTAGGATGCTACACTTTGCCTCCTTCTTTATATGGTAGGCTATGTCTCTTTAATTTTTTTTTTTTTATAAATTATTGTTTTTACATCTTGAGCCCGTTATTATGCTTAAAATATTACCATGGTGTCTTTGAAAAAGGTAAAAATCTAAAAGTTTTTTCGCTAAATTAATAACTAAATTTATGTAGTTATCATGTCAAATCTGGCAAAGCTCCAGAGTCTTGCCCTTGATGTGTTAGGGAAAAACTACATGTCATGAGCAGTAGATGTAAAAATCTATCTAAAAGGGAACAAGCTTCCTAATATCGATTAGTTAGAAACAACATTAGATGAGAAAAATATGAAACCATGATCTTTTTGCTCTACCACATCCATGATAATTTAATAGAGAAATACATCACAAAAGAAGATCCTTTAGATCTTTGGCAGTCACCTAAAAATATGTTTGATCACGAGAAATACATAATCTTATTACAAAAGCTAAGCACGAGTAGTTGAATTTCTGGTTCCTGGATTACAAAAGTGTTGGTGTAATCTGCGATATTCGGAATCATCTCCAGGATGATGTTATATGGAAATGAAGTAAGTGATTTCAATATATTTGAAAAAAACTCTAAACATTCATCCTGCAACAACAATTCCGGGAGAAAGGATACACCACTTACTCAGAGTTGATGCAAGTCTTCTTGGTGGCTGAACTAAATAGTCAGCTCGAGATGTTAAACCATTAAACTCGTCCATCTGGATCATCACCATTCCCAAAAGCGAATGTTGCATCATCCATTCAAAATAATAAGAGAGGACACGGATGCGAACGCGGCCAAGTCAGTAGTCGCGATCGCAGATGAAATTGTGGACACGGCTAGGGCCATAGTCGTGATTGCGAATGAGGTCTTGGACGAGGAAAGAAAATGATGTTGGTCAAGAGAAAAAAAACATGCTCGTTACAGATGTGGCATGAAAGGACATTACAAACCTATCGTACCCCCACAACATTTGGCCGATCTGTACAAAGCATCACAAAATTCCAGAAAATGATATTGAAACCAATTTTGATATGACTATCCCAAGTCTTGGCACTTGAAGTTGGCGATTGGATAGGCGTTGATTCTAAAAAGCCAGAAAACCTCTAAGAACAAAGAAAATGGATCAATAGGTCGCACAAAAGTTGCATAAGGCTCTTGATATTCCTAACTTGACTCCTAGGATATGACACACCTTGGATATGACACACCTAAACAAACCAAAGGTGATTGCTTGGATGTTACACACCATGTAATCGACAAATGTTCAAGAAGAACAAAAGAGAATCACTCTCAAAATATCTTATATAAGTTTATATAGAAGAGAAATGAGCAGACAAGAGTCATACTGGAATTAAAAGACATTAACTTCAAAGATTAAAAGCAAAGACTAAAATAATGAACAACTCTTGAGCTTTTTGCACAACCCTTGATCTTTTTGTCTCTTTGACTCCTTGGACGAATTTGATGATGGGCTAAGTTTTTCCTCTTCATTTTTGGGCTTGTAGAATTGTCTCCTGGATGAGAAACTTAAGCCTGAAGGCTTCCAAACGAATCAAGGCTAGAAATCCTCAAGCATAGAACCAGTTCGACCCATTTTGGAAAATGAAGTGTATTTTTGTGATCTGATGGCCATCTCTTCTGATATTGGGCTTGTTCGAACCATTAGAGACCCAATACAATTCTACAAGTGGTCTCACGTCGAGATCGTTTATGAGTTGGGCTCTGGAGCTCGATCTTTGGATCGATCGCGTAGTTGAGTCTGGAACAGATCCACGTATTTGTAAAATTCATATCTTCCAATTCTGAACCGTTTTTAATGTGAATCCAATTCTCTCTTCTTCTCTGATGTATGATGATTCCTGAATAAATTGTTTCATAGATTGATTCTTTCTGTATTGGCCGAAATCCTCCAATGAACGTGCGTCGCTCCAAATCGAGTAAGCTTGAGTTTGCCTGATTTGAAAACTGAATAACTTATTCATATGAACTAGGATTGGACTGTTTCCACTTCGAGGAGTGCTCTAGATGAAGTAAGAATATATTTCAAGTGGTATTCAGGCTGTACCAGTTGAGCATGGACCCCATTTGTCTTGAACAAGGCAGCATTGTCTTGTTGGGTGTTTTCAATATCATATCATCCCCTCCCTCTTGAAAAAGTTTCGTCCTCGAAACTGTACAACCTTGGACTGGAAAATGGTGAAGTGAGTTTGGCGGACTATCCTTAATTATCATGGAATATATAACTTCTT